ACAACTGTAGTTCATACCATTGTCTAAGTGTGTGTATATATATTAGAGCATTGTGCTTATTATTCAAATAAGCCTCAATCCTTTCTTGTATAAAGCATTTATTATTGAGTTTGAGCTCTGATGTGTTTGGAGTAAAATAATTCTTGATTAGAGATCTTCTGAGGTTTTTCAGTTGTGAAAAGTCTAGATAACCACTGAAGTCACAGAAGAAAGCCAATTACCCATAAAGCCATTTGAAAACAAGAGTAGTAGAAGAAGGAGATACTACCGTGTCTTAACCAGGCTATAGTTAGCATTCTTCTCTCTGGGGACACAAGCACTCTTGAATTGCAGATATGTGATCTCATTAAACCTTAAATAATCCTAACTTGCTATTTTGAGATGTATACTCTTTAGGTGGCTTTTGATCATATGGTTCTGATGCTAGCCCAGTACTTCAGTCAGTACCAAGAACTTGTTCTGTTGATGCTAAGTGCAGAGGTCAGGACAGTTTCCTCCCTGAAGGCATAAGAATGCAGAGTATGCTCTAGGTCCCAGATCTGAGGAAAGGGAAAAGAGGAATAATGAGCCCTGCACATCTGACAGAGCTTGCATGTATGTATCATTTGATAGCCATCTTTCTAGCAATTTTAATAGGAAATCCTATTTTCTTGATAAATTGTGCCATTGCTTTAAGAAGTTTTCTTGGCTGTTGGAATAATTTGTTAATTTTGAGTGAAAATAGGGCAAATATAGTATGAAAGAATTACCAAACAGATCAAAGTACTATGGAATAAAATGTGAAGCAGCAAAGTAAAACTGGTTTGCAATCTGTAGAAAAAACCCTTGATGCAGAGCGACTAACTACTTTTTTTTTTTCTTTCAACTTAACTCCAGACTGATGATAAAGGCGTCTTTGCAACAGATCTCTCACAAGAATATGAGCTGGTGGCAAACACATTTAATCTGACTCGATCACAGATGTGGGATCTTTCCTATGAATCAATCAACTATATCTTTGCTTCAAATGTAGTAAAATCAAAGCTAAGGGAACAGTGGAGTAAACTGAAGCCAGCTCTGTTTGATGAATCACACTTGTCCTAAACAGCTTGAGTGTATTAGCTTAGTTAATCAGCATTTTCCACTGAATTTCCTGGCTTTTCCCAGCCTTTCGGGTTCATAAACCCAGCCCTTAAACTGCGCTTGAGCAAAATGAAGCAATGTGTCCTTTGTTGGTGGGGACCAAAGTACATGTTCTTTTGTAATTGGGAAGGGTTCTCAACTAAAACTCAAAACATGCCATCATGTTTGTTCTCCTCAGTTAATATGATATTTTAAAAAAAGGTTTAGTGGAAATATGTCATACTACAAACATTTGGGAGTCAGAAAAAAATCAAGGCACAGCTATTAGAGTTTAAAATGTCTCCACTGGCAACATTACACCAAGCTGTCTGCGTGTGTGGGGTGTGTATTTGTTTTTTGTATTATTTTTGCACATAGGTTTTGAGCAATGGATTGAATATGAAGACAAAAACTCAGGGAGGATGAAACATTTGTCCCAAAGGAATAAAATTTTACATCTGTTTTTACTGACGGATGCGTGTGGCTGAAGTCTGCTGTGGACTGTGCAGCATATGTGGCAGTGCCTGTTGATGCATTCCGCACCATTTAGACAAAGTCCAGGATCTCGAATGCCTTAGCAAACTGAGCTACTTGGGGGAAATGGTCTAATTCTTAAAATGCTTTTTAGAACTGCTGTTGGTTTCTTGTAAAAAAGCAATAAAAATAGCTCCATCCTCAGTGGTTTGGAAGGTGCCGGTTCCAGCGTGCGCGCGTGCACGGGTGTGTTGGAGGTGTGCAGGCGAGAAGCCCGTGTGGCCGGCTGCGGGGTTGGGTGGGTGTCATCCCTGGGCAGCCTCGCTGCCTCCGAGTGGCACCACTTCTGTTCTGACAGCAGACGGTGCTCCTCGGTTCAGGCAGTGGCAGGGGTCACACCTGACACGAGATACTGCTAGGTGCTGCAGGAAGTACCCAGAGAAGAAGGGACTTCAAACCGAGGATGCTTTTACATTGAGGGGTTAAACAAGCAAACATTCTAGGCTCTACAAGGAATAGGGAATATAAGTACAATGATACAGAAGCTGTTCATGGCATCTTTTTTGGTCTTCTTTAATATAATCAGCGTAAAGTAGTTGTTCTGGCTCCAAAGTGGCAGTAAGAAATTAAAAGAAAGAAAAAGGTCAAGGGTGGTTGATAGTTGCTATGTCTGCATGGCTACCTGGGGTATCCACAGGATGTTTTCCAAGAAGAAACTTTCCTTTTGGAGATAGGGAAAATTATGTGAAGCAGAACTGTGGTTTTATATATTCTTACCCAAACTCAGAATAAGACCTTATACTGACCTTAATTTATAAACAGTACTTGAAATTACTTTCCAAATAGTTTCACTGATCACATTACCTTTGTTTGATCATGTGACATTAACACTTCTTGCTGGATCAAGTTTGTATTTTCTTGCTACAGAAAGAGTTACTATAGTAAGTGTATTCTTCCTTTCTTACCAAAAAGCTCTCCAAGGACAGATTGAGCAGCTTTCTGCAGTGTGAGGTATGTGTATCTTGGTCTCAGGATAAGTGCATCTGCACTCGAGTAAGATGGTGTTCTCTTGTAACGTAGATTTTATAATCTTTGTACAGGTTATGGCCTTCTAATAGCTTCAATAACATAGTACTTGGTTTATTAGTGAAGAAAAACTGTCCACCTCCTGTTTATTTACTAAGAGGTCATCGTCAGTGTTTTATCTGTCAAATTCAACACTTTAGATCTAAAGCCAAGTAAGACTTGTAATTTGTGTCTTGAGATTTTTAGTTTCAAACTGTGTTACACAGAAGTAAGTTTCATTTTTAAGGTTTATATATTGAATGTGATACGTGGATCACTCAGAGAGCATGACCCTCGTAAAGGCTGCTATTTTCAACTTTTATTTCTGCAAGCATACGGTGTCATAAGATACTTTTAACCTTGTGGACTATTACATTTAGTTCTCAATATTTCATTTAATTGACTTCTGTGTTTCTTCAAAATACTGCCTTCCATCACTTTGTAGTACTGCCCCCGAACAGTTTGGTATGTGACGACACATGTATGCTGCAGAGTTTTATAATTTAAAAAAACTTCCCTGATGATTAATGAAAGAAGTGAAACAGGGCTGTTATATGTAATCTGGAGTTATGGAATCACTCTTTTTACTGTGTACTTACCCTGTCACTTAGATACTTGCTGATGTGCTGCTGTTTTAAAAAAAAAAACCCTGCCAGTTATTTGTTTAACAGTAGTTACAGTGTCTCGGCTCATAATGGAAGTAAGGAGGTAACCAGGAGGATTCCAGTTGTGTGAAGTAAAAGACTCAGGAATATATTTGTGTGGCTTAAGAGTGATACACAGAACTGGGGGATTTCTGTGTATTGTTTTCTGTGTGTTACTGCAGTTTCTTACACTGCAGATGTCTTCTGCTTAGAGTGGAACTGAAAGTTGGAAAGTATGTGGGGAAGGTTTAGAATGAAGAGTCATCACCTGATTAGAACTGTCTTGTGCACAGTTCCCAGGTTGTCCATCAGAAGCTGAAATCTTCAGTTCTTACAGTTGCTGGGCTATTTTGTAGGAGTGTAACTTTTCTAAGTAAAAGTGCAAAAGTTTCTTGTTTGGCGTCAGGTAGGATTGTAGTTAATTTTAATTTAAGCACTTCTTGCTGAACCTGCTTGTTGAATTCAGGGTTAACAGTGAGGTAACCATTGTTTAGTTGATAATGTTGTATAAAAATGACTGTGATGTACAGTCAGAGGGGAGCATCACCACTGAAGGCACCATCAGTGATGGGGAAGAGGACTCTTCGTTTTCTTCCCTGAATGCAGTGGAAATTTCTAGTAACCACTTTGTGGAATTTCATTTGTATAAGATGAGGTTTAAGTATTCAGGTGCTGTTCAATTTATTTTAAAAGTAAACAAAATAGATCTAGATTGAGTTAATATTTCTGTTTATTTCTATCTGATTATATGAGATAACACTTGCAGAACAGTCTCCAGGGCTCAGTCTTTATTTGCATCATATGAAGAGACACACTTTGGTCCTACTAAACAATACTCTTTGGAGATGCATGCGGGGAGAGAGCAACTGCTCGCTGTAGCGTAAGTTTCTCAGAATTCCTTTTGAGACAAACACATAAAGTCTGCAAAACCTCTATTCCTTGGTGACTAGGCTGGAAAGAAGCCACAGCTTATCATAATACAAATGCTAAGCTAAGTATTTACACACTGCTCTTCAGGATCATAGCTTTGCAAAATAAAGTAGTTGCATGGATTATTTATATGCCTATTTCTATATTTAGGCATTTCCAAGTAATACATTCAAAAAATAACAGTGCAGATGAGGGCATTGCATTAGGTAAGTGTGTAAGATGGTTAAAAGTCTTGCACATCTCTCGCACGAGAGGCCTAGGGGGATGGCTGGGGCTGTTTAGGCTGGAGAAGAGAAGGCTCAAGGGGCAAATCTCATTAATGTTTTTAAATACCTGATGGGAAGGAGTACAGAAGATGGAGCTAGGCTCTTCTCAGTGATACCGAGTCACAGGAAAAGGAGCACAAACTGAAACACAGGAAATTCTGCCTGAAGATAAGGAAATGCTTTTTACTGTGTGGGTGGTTGAGCATGGGAACACAATACCCAGACAGGCTGGGGAGTCTCCATCCTTGCAGATTTTAAAAACCCCAAATGACCTGATGTAGCAGACCCTGCTTAAGCAAAGGAGGTGGACTGTACAATCTCCAGAGATGCATTAGAACCTCAACTGTTCCTTGATTTTGTGAAGTGAATATACAGCTACACAGATGATAAGGTCTCTATATGAATACAAAATCTTTATCAAATGCTGCTTAACTCAGTCATTCAGGTGACAATTTTTCACCAGGCTTGAACAAAAGCAGTTGACTGACTTGTGAGATTTATTTTGGTTTTTAAGAACGGCTCATTCGTACTTCAAGGCCTTCCTCCTTTCACATCCGTTGTGGAATCCTTTGGTGCCATCAGGACCTTTAGGCAGCCGCAGCACCCCTACAGGAAGACCATCTGCATTTTGTATTTTCCGAGCCAACGTGGGGCTACTGATGGGACTCTTCTCTTGTGTTACAGTTCGCGCTTTTCTTCTCTGTACCCAGGGGCTACCAGAGGGAGTGATACTGCTGTCTGAGGAATAATCTGTACATTTCCTTGGAATTTCAGGGCTAGTGCTTGGGTTAAGCTTGCTGTCTTCAGCCAGTGGAGACTTTTTGGTTGCTTTTCTTAGCAAAGATGGACTGTTCCAAGGACTTGATCTGGGTGACACATTAGGACTCAGATGGTTGGTTGGGTGAATGACAAGGCTCAAATTACTCATAGTATTTGCTGCAGTTCTTTTGCGCCCTGACAGTGGTGATGTAGGATTACTCTCTGGTTCAGAAGAGCTATTTGCTGAAGACTCATCACCAACAAACTGAAGTTCCTCCACTCTCTTATTAAGGGATCTAACCTTCTTAAGGCTCTTGCTGGTATCTTCATCACGGTTCTTGTCCTTTGGAACTTTTTTCTTCGGAGGTTTCGTGCCTATTAGGACAACTTTCATACCAGTTTCTTTATTTTTAGCATACATGAAGTCATGAGCACGGATCGCAGCATCTACTTCTTCAAATTCTATAATTGCACATTCCTGAGTTCCCAGTTGGGTGTACTGGTTGCTGACCCTCCTGATATCGGGTGGTAGATCCCTACCAGGCTTGAGAATACGAACTGATGAAATTACGCCAAAACTTACAAAGGCTTTGAGGAGATGTTCCATTATCCTCTCTTGCATGCATCCATTTTCTTGCTGTTTAAAAGCCTGCAGCTCAGAAATCATGTGAATATCATACACCAGTAACATCCTGGTAGGGAGGTTTTCACTTGGAAACACTGGAACTGGAGTATTTCTTCTAACCTTTTTGTTATCGTCGTTGAGCTCAAGAGTGTCCGAGTACTTCAGTGCATAGGCTGTAGTTCTCCAGTCACGGGTAAGGTGTTTCACCTTGAAGACAAACACAGGTTAAGCAGCACAACTGATCAAACTCATTCAAACTAATTGTAGAAAGTGTAAGGCAGATGCAAACTCCATTCTACAAACAGAAACCTGGATTTAAGTTTCACATAGCAGACTTGAATGAAGAAATAAAACGGTTTTCCTGCTATAATGGGCATCAGTGAGCTCCTATAAAGCTCATGTCCTGCTCAATATACTGAAAATAGGAACTGACACTAAATCTCAAACCAAACGTCATTACTTCATCTCCTAGCCTTCTCAGGTAATGTTTGGTCATTCCACATCTAAGTCTGAACCATGTTCAAAAAGCATGTTCTGTGGTATTTATTTGCCAAACAAGTAGTTTTGCCAAGTTTACAACTTCAGTTTACTGAACTGCTTTTTCTTCCCTCAAAAATCAGTTTCAAAACCCCTCAGACTCCATTTCCATGGATTCTTTTTAAGTGTCCATCTGTTACACTTTTTGTAGTGGTATGAAGAAACTAAGAGTACCTTAACTTCTAGACTGAACAGCTCTACAAAACTGTCAGATCTAGAATCTTGTCAGTGTTTCTAATGGAATTCAGAACTCCATTCCATACACATATTTACATAGGAGTCCCTAATGTAAGAAAAAAAATCCAACAACAACATAACCAAAAAGAAACACCTCTTCCTTTACGTGACTTGAGTTACCAGATACTTTCCACTATTAATTTTTTGGATCTCTATACATTTCCGAAGGTCTGATCCACCATCCCTTCTCAGAGACAGAAAAGTAACTTTACCAGGATTACTCAGGTATTCCTGAGTAGAAATTAATTCCTGATCTAGAAAGTAATTGTATCTAATGTCCCATTTACTATGCCCTACTCTGCCCCAGAATGATCACTTAAAAGCTTAGTCGCTTTAAAGCCTATGATCTCCCTAGCCAGTTGTGAACAAGTTCAGCAATTAAAAGTTCTGGATGAGAACAAACCTAACCATCACGTCAAAACTGAGTCAACCCCTAAGAGAGGCAGAACTTTGAGGAACACACTAAAAACTGCCTCAATAAACATTTCCATCTCATCTCCCCTAATGGTTTTAGATTGATCAGGCTTATGCAGGGCACTTAACTCCTAAAAAGTCACCTTACCTTCTTAAAAGAAGTGAGGAGTTTAACACTGACATAGCCCATCTTATTTCTTCTCACATGCTTTAAAAGGAAGGCGTCTTTCTCAAGGTTTTCATCTGAGAAGTAATATTCAATCTGTGCTATTAACTTCTGGATCAGGTCATTTTCTGGTGGTTTCCAGTTCTGGTCAGAGTCGTCATCATTTTCCCCACCACTGCAAAACAGTTAAATTGGTTTATTAACAGATCTTTGTCTTAAATTAGTAAATTCAAGTAGCCTTTCAAAATGACAAGGCATAACCATAATGCCGATGCCAACTTACTTTATATACAGGCACTGAAAGGTGCCTATCCATCTGAAGCAGGAGGCCAGCTCAGAGGATGAAGCTTTCTAGTCCGCATAAGGACTCAAGTTCCTGAGCGCATTCCAAAAGCTGATCTTAGCATAGAACAATGAGACAAATATACTAGCATGTTGAAAACACTGCCAACTCAAATACTCCACCAAAACGTGAAATGCAGGTGCACAGGCACTTGGTGCTATACCTGGAGTTCCTCCAGTGACAGTATTTTATTTTTCAGTAGGAAACTATTGAACAGTCTTGACATATATGTGCTTCATGAGTCACGTCACATACCAGTGAATGAATACTCCAACTTGATGCAGTCATGATTTCTGAAGCCTCCTCAATGCATGAATGCAGGAGTCAGGGGGAGACTTTGGTGCAGTAGCAACTCATGTACCTCAGGAGTAGCTGTACTGCATACATACCTAGGTTGCCAAGAAGACATTCTCCTATCCTCTCTACGTCCATCGTGTTGTCTGGGTATCTGTGCAAAACAGAACCCTACTGAGCATCCTATCCCCAAAAAAGAGACTGCAACCATGGGTATAAAATTCTCACCAACTACAGTTACAGCAGCATTTGTTGCTGAAATATAAATGACCACTTAAATTGCATCTAGCAGTAAGGCAAATAGTTCAACCTCAGCCTACAGCTATAGATGTTGTTACAAGGACTGTAATCACCAATCCAACTTAAGCCACAGTATTTTTTTTTTAAGCTGTTAGAAGTCTAGTTTTGCTGGGGGACTGTCATGAAAGTTTCTGTTACAAAATTCAATAAAAATAATCTACTGAACTCCCTAGTCCCTACGAATCATGTCTTAGTCTCTTGTGTGCCTCAGCAACAAAAAAGGGGAAACCGCACGTTTTCCCACAATTGTCTTAAATGGGTTTTGCAGAGCTTGTGGAATCATTAAACAAGAGAGCAGGCATCACACTAGAGTCCTCCAAGGGCAATCTGACAGGGAGGATGCAGGCTCCTGTACCCTCTTGTCTTGTAGCAGTTTTGTCCCAGAGAGAACTGGAGACTGTGATCTCGATGCCGCGTGTCATGCTGCCGGCGCCTGGGCGCAGGCAGGAGCACTGCCTAGGCAGGGGCTTGCTCTGCCTCTGGAGATACTGCCCAGGTCAAAGGGCTCTGCCCGGGGAATGTGTTCCCAGGTGTGACAATGTACAGAAGCTCTCTAGCACCTCGCTTTTGAAGCTCACAATTTATTTACTTAGTATGGTGGTTCTTATGATAGGAAAAACACGTCAGTGTTCTCAATACAGTACAATGAGAGGTGGTTTAGTTCAAAGGAGTGAGAGAGCGAGAGAAAGAATTTAAGTTAACAATGCGAGAAGCAGATGACAGTAGATGAAGCTGTGATTAAGATATTCAATGGCCACCTGTGGGTGCTGGTTTCTGAAGGAAGATAAAGCAAGGTTAGGTGTTTATTTTTCATTCATGATATTCCCTTGCCATATTATTTCTCATTCTTCATTCACTACCAATTCAGAACTAGGTTGGGCACAAGAAGCTTAGAACATTTCAGCACTTTTATGTACCCACACTCTATGAGAAGCTTACCTTTAATTCAGGATGGAGCGTAGTTTTTTTTAGAGGTTTTATGAGTACAGACATTTGCAGGTACTTGAAAGGTTTGGATGGAAAGAAAATGGAGCTTCATGCTTGGAAAAAAAAAAAAAAAGAGCTGCATGTTTGCAAAGATTGGTACTGTCCTTAGTGTTAACACACTGATTCAGAGTGAAACAGGTCTCTTTACCTTTTAAATCAAATAGTGATAAATCAAAAAGTCACAGTCTGAGCTAGTGCACCATTTCTATATTTGGCAGACAGTACAGCTTTTACAAAATCTTGAGGGCTTTTACAACAGCCCTCACTAAGTACTGTTTGGAAATTCCACCTACAGCAAATCCCAACACTTTTTAACTAGCTGCTCTGTATTAATTCATAGGGGACATTAAACCATTGGGACATGGTTTAATGGTCACAGTAGTGTTGGGTGATGGTTGAACTTAATCTCAGAGGTCTTTTCCAACCTTAATGATTCTATGATCCTATAGTAATGATCAACTGGTAGTACATCTAGTACTCTGCTAAACTCTTCTACAAAGATAGTTGATAAATTATGCCAGTCAACATTGATGAAGAAAAAAAAAAAAAAGCCTAGTAGTTATACACAAGTTTCATTTACTTATTTCTTTATTCAGAGCTTTTTGATGAATATGCTTGTCAAAACAGTTTGGAAAGACTGAAAAACAGCCTTTTAACAGGATGACTCATCTGGCTATTAGTCACACAAGAAAATAAACACATCTGCATAGAGAACAGGTTTTGGTTTTTAAATACTAAAACTCATGAACAATTTATTGAATAGTCTGGATAGACTAACCTTTTGACATTTTTTTGATGAGTCTTGAAAAGAACTGGTATTAATAGGCACTATGTGATGATACAATTTGAAGTATTAAGTTGATGCTCAGTGCAATCACTGAAATGCAGTTCAGTTAAAACTTAGCAACTGGTGGATACAATACTGGGTGCCTGCTAATAGCATGTGTGGCTGCAGCAATCGCTAAATTTCAATTTCTATTGTGATACTTCTTAGTTTAGACCAACACCACCATAAAAATATTCACCTTTTAAGCTCTACTTCTTCTTGTGTCTGCATCCAAATTAAGTTGAGCAAGAATGGCCTTACTTTATGCATAGGAGAACCTCCTGTTTGCTAAAAGCAGTCTGAAGATTTTTCTGAAGCACCTGGCAGCTAAATGGCTGAGGACTGATTGTCACAAATACTTCGAGATTTCCTGAAGAGTTGGGGTGTCTTGACCTTGAGGAAACGTTTTTCATTTCCTATTTTATAAAACCTCGAAATTGGAAAAAAAAAATAAAATCCAGATAGAAAGCTGGAAAGTGAAATGGCTCATTCCCAGGAGTTTTAGACCATCACTGACAATTTTCCAAATCTTTGGGTAAATAATTTCCTATCAGATGTTGCATTTCCAAAAGCAAATCCTTAGGTAACATTACACATAAATGGCAAAAGCACATGTGAACTCCACTCACCTACTATTGATGTAGAACCTTTATAGTTCTCTCCATGGCAATACCTGTGGCACTTCCTGGATCAGGAAGAGGCCATTTACAAAAAAGGCAACCTCTGCAAGAACTGAATATATATATATATATATCTCTACACTGTCAGCAAACATTTCTGAAGATAGTACCTACTGTAGAGGATCAAATAAGCAGCATTCAAGTTAGCTACTCTGTGTTAGAAAACATGAAAAAATAGCCACCCTTTTCTCTAGTCTAGGCCACGGCTAAAAGCTCTTACACAAGTAATGTCAAAGAAAAATGTAAAAATATTCTGAGTTGAAGAATCCAATAATTGGAAACACTGTAGACCGCTGTACACATTTGATTTATAAAAATACAAGTCAGATATGGCTGTGGAAGGATTAAGTTGACTCAGTTTTAACATTTTACTTGTGTCTAACTGAGGTTACTTCCTATTTCTGTAGTGCATAGTTGCCAACTTAGGCAGCCGCAGAAATTTCCCACTCCCCAGCTACCCTAGCCCTCTATAATTTAAATTAAACCACTGCAGTACATTCTGAGTCAGTGCTAGGACATGAAGTTAAAGAATTGATTAGAAACAATTGATCTTAGAACAGAATACTTAATTTTGTGCTACTGTACCTCAATCTTTTTGGGACAGAATTAATTACTGCACCTGCAGCTTTAGTACAAAACATAGGATGAATTACAGGTAGTGAGCTTTGTCTCTGGCACAAAAATCCTGGATGTTCCTTTTACAAGTAAGAGATTCCGGAAGGCATCAAAGCAACTTCAATCATCAGTAATAATTCCTGCAACATCACTCTATACAGACAACACTACTGGTATTATCAAGTAGTGAAGTATAGAGTTTATTATAAAGTGGTAGCTTCTGTATTTAAACTGATTGTGATTTCATATCTGGTCAACTTGTTTTGAAAGCCATAGCACTGGTCAGCTTCTCCATCTCTTATTTCTACTGAAGAAAATCTCTATGGTTCTATGCAATAAAAACCAAACGGGGAAAAAAAGAAACAACAACAAACAAACAAACAAAAAACCCCAAACAAAAACAAACAAACAAACAAAAACAAAACAAAACAAAACAAAAACAACAAAAAACCACTAAACAACCTAAAACCCCTTTTGCCAAACGCAGTGACACGGGTGTGTCGGGGACACCGGGGCCCGGCGCTTCCCGCTGCGTGGAATCCGCTGCCCGGCGCGACCCTGCCCTGCCCTC